TTCTTGATTTGCATCATTATTTGATCCTTTGAAGAGTTTAAACCATGATTTTAATCCTTCAATCTCAGATGGTGTTAACAGTCTCACAATATCTAGTGTAAAACTATAAGCCAATTTGGGTTTTTCAAAATGTCTTTCAATCTTTCTTGGTATCTTAATGGCTGGCAAGATTCTAAATAAGATATCTTCAATATTGATATAATTTGTTTCAACATGTAGATCTCTTAATTCACCACCTTTGAAGAATTTCTCGAAAACATCCTGTTTCTTGAAAATATTGTTAAAAGCTCTTTCAAAATTGCCATTTAAAAAATCAGTCCAAGGAAATGATTTGTATAAAATCTCTTTTCTTTCAAATCCTTTATCCCATGTTGCCCAGTTCTTGTAATTCAAATCATTCATAAAGTCCACCTCATCAGCAAAGAGAGTTGTGAAACACAAAGCTAACCATTGAAGTAATTCTTTGTTGTGTATTTCAACTGGTCCATCACCAACAATTGTATGAAAAAGAATTTTTGCCCTTTTTCCATCAAGTTGATTTAATAAGTCCATGATCTCAAAACCACCATGTATAGTCATCATTTTTAATTTTTCAACACTAACCTTATTCTTAAAATGAGCCTTTTGGATCATATTATCTAGAGTTTTAATCTGATCTTCACTTAATGGATTGTGTGGATCTCTCCCATAAATTTGTGACATGATGTAGATATTCATCAATTCAGCTCTTATATTCAACGGGACATCAGCTAATAGTGGGTACCATAATTGCTTCTGGATTTTTCCAAATATTTCTTCCCAATTACTTTCTCCATTAATTGAGATACCTAAAAATTTTATTGCAGATGCTTTTTCCAATGGTGTAACCTTTATAGCATTATCTTTATACTCTTCTTTATATTCTTTTTCCATCCATTTTCTCAATGTAACGATATTTGACTTGTCCAAATTAATTTTCATATTTGAAACATCTTTTTTTTTTTAACAGACAACGTTCTTATATTTCTAATCTTTTCTAACTATACAAGTACTTCCATTAAGTTCATTTTCCAAATTCACACATCTTCATGCTTTTAAATGAGTTTTGGTATCTGGTCCCTAGCAGGATCGAACTGCTGATCTTGGCGTTATTAGCACCACGCCTTAACCAACTGGGCCAAGGGACCGGATTTATGCGCTTTAAAAATACCAGATTAAATTGTTAGTATTTTACTTGATTACATAAGCCAAATTGTATTACCTTGGATCGTAAACTACAAGAAGAAAAACATTGAAATGATAGAAAACAGTTGTGACACAGCTTTATTAGCTTTTTTTGATGCATCTAAGATTCAATTAGAATCACAAATTAGAGTGCAATTTTTTTAGTGAATTTGTAAATGAGTATAAGTGAAATAAACGTTATTGTATACAAAAAAAAAAAATTGTAAATTACAAGAAGAAAAATATTGAAATGATAGAAAACAGTTGTGACACAGCTTTATTAGCTTTTTTTGATGCATCTAAGATTCAATTAGAGTCACAAATTAGAGTGCAATTTTTTTTTTTAGATAAGTGAATTTTTAAATGAGTATAAGTGAAATAAACGTTATTGTATACAAAAAAAAAACTACAAGTTATGGTAGTATAACGAATAATTTGAATTAAGCTAAGGAGTTATAGTGGGTGTGTTAAATCTGTACAGGTATCATGCTTTTCGATGCAAGTACTTACTTGAGTATTAAGGGTTCGAGTATAGGGCATGTAGCCGATCCAGCTTCCAGACGTAATTTGACTTTATGAGTTCGCTATACACAAAAAAAAAACATGATCAGCTAGAGCTGCCAACTATAATTAATCACAATATTATTATATTATAAGTGTTTCATTTTCCAGATATTGATATAAGTCAAATTATATATATATAGTCAATATTAATATTGTTTTGATCAGATTGATGTATATTCTTGCACCGCGTTACAGACCGGTCCATAGAGCTGCACAACCAACCAATATATTGGACAACTATAATATAGTACAAATATCTAATTGATTAAATAAAGAAGTAGTAAAATATAATAAATATCCCGCAAAGCGAATTGTGATGGGTCCTATTAATACTCAAGCGTTTCTTGTCTTTTTAATTGGTGGCCTTCCAGCAACAGATTCTCTTCTTGCATTTTCACTTGGATTTAATAACGCATAGACACCAGATCCAGGTTGTTGTTGCTGCTGTTGTTGAATTGACATAGGAACAGGTTGGGGTGGATATTTCCCAAAATTTTGAGGATTCATCATAGCTTCCTGTTGGTAAATTTGAAGATTCTCTTGACTTCTGTTTGGGTTAATGGCTTGAACGTTTGTGGAAGAATGTGACCTTTTTGGTTCCCTTGATGATTGATACTCTTCATCAGGCCTGGATGTGGGTACGCTTCTTGGAGGAATGTTAAAACTGAATTCTTGTTGCTTGGAATATTCTGTAGCATCATTTGAGCTATGTCTTTTTCTTATCAAACTTTCTCCCCTGATGGCATTTTGAATATTCGGTGCTATTCCTGGAAATAAACCAGGTCTTTGATCTCTTGTTAATTGATGTGGTGAATGTGATCTTTGCAAACTTCCATAATCAGGAAAATAACTTCCTTGACCCACAGTTGGTGATGTTATATTGGTATCTGGTACAGATGTTGGACCAGACATTGAACTCCTGTTGATTGAAGCTTGACTTGCTGGTGAGATAACATGTCCAGCAGCTGGTGGTGCTAAAGGATCGTATAGTATTGACATATTTCTTGATCTGGATGAGGTTGAAGATGCCTTACGATCAGTGTGAAACGGATCTTGCATTATTTGAGATGAGTTGGCTTGTCCAGGGTGCGCATTTGTAAAGAATTGCTGAGTATGTGAATGATGTTGAGGGTGGAAGTTCTGAGGTTGTTGAGGATATGGATATGGGTAAGGATATGGATAAGCTTCTGGAGTATTCGCACTGGAACCAGCAGGATTCATTTGAGATTGAGATTGAGATTGAGATTGGTGATGTGATACAGGTGGTGGTTGTGATATTCTGGAACTCATTTGATACGATGATGCAAATGATACAGAATGTTGATCAATATCTCTCGAAGCTGCTCTTTGGATAATAGAAGCTCTGAATCTAGCAATATCACCTTCAATTTCAGAGGCAGTATAGCTCCCAGCATGCTCTTTTGGACCAGATCCAGGAGATTGAAGATTCTCTTCTTCCAACTTTCTTTGAGTGATTTGCTGTGGTAACGGGCTAGCTGTTGGATGTTGTTGGGATTGTGATGTGGTTGTTTGATTATCTTTTGATTGATCCCCTTCACCTGTAGAAGTACGTACAACTTTTTGCACTAGGTCCAGTAAATAAACCATATCTAAATTTGTCTTTCTTAAATCTTCAATTGCTGTATCATACCTAAGTTGCAGTCTGGCATGTTCATGTCTTAAAGCAGCTAGATTATGCCCCAATTCTGCCAATCTAACATTTAGTACAGGGTCAACTGAAGGATCCATTGGAGCATCTGTCAATGAATTACTTCTTTCAGATATAAGGCCTTCATTATCAGATAGGTCTGTATTAGTCCCTGCTCCCTTTTGAGTATGTTTTGAGGATCTTCTTTTGATTGATTTCAAACTATCTATATCACCTTTTCTAAAGCTTCCTGAACTATGACGGAATTCCCAAGTGGTCACTTCAGAATTTTCAGTTGTATTTCCATCACTAACTTTGTGGAATCCATACATATTCAATTGACGAACAAAAGATGCAACATTAGTGTGTTTGAAATATTGAGCTAATGCTTTACTAAACTCTTCACCAGGAGTAATCACGAACGATTCATTTGTAGATGACCACCATATCAAATGCTTTAGATCATCATCTTCCAGCATATTGTAAAGCTTGTGAATGAAAACAGTATGTAATCCTTTGGTGTTTGTAGGTAATATGGTCACATCTTTCTTGACATCTTTTTGTTTCAAGTCAACATGTTTAGCCCTGTCCAGCACATGAGTTTGTTCACTTGATGAGGTTGGTGTTATTATAGGTTTTTCAAATGCTTGAGGCTCTACTGGGTTGGTCTCTATGTCTTCTGTTGCGGATACCTGTTGGATATTTTGACTTTTCTCTTGACCTGTTATTGAATTTGAATCAACGTCGACTTGACCCGGCTGCCCATTCAGGCTGGTTTGTGAGCCTTCCATTGACAAAACGAGTTTAATGGGATTAGTCTTCTTCTGTTGATATGAATGTTTGCGTGAATGCTTCTTTAGTATTTCTGAGGGGGTGAACCGAAGACCCTTATACCATAAAAAGATCAATCAAAAAAGATGCAAAATTAATCGAACAAAATGTTGATTAATGTTGAATAATATACTGAAAATATCCTCAATAGATTGAAAATGAAAGTCCGCTCTGGAGATTGAAAGAGATTCTTATGTTATATGATGAAATCAAGCAAAAACTTATTGAAAAAAGAGAACCTTGACACTATAACCTTGACTTTTCGATGATCTTTTGATTATTCAAAGACTGAGCAGCATAAGTGGTGGTCCATGAACTATGAGCTAAGGAATATTGATTTTTTCAATTTGGGCTTGAATGTGAAATAGAGTGAAAATGAAAAAATCTTTCAGAGTTTGTTTATGACAATGAAATTCTGTTATGGTTTTCTAGACGTAATCGAATTTTGAAAAAGAAGTCTTCGCACCGCAGCTTTAAAGTAAAAAAAATTGAAATAGAAAAAAAAGGAAAACTCATGGACCTAGTCTATGCCCGGCTAATAAAAACGGGCCTAATCGTGGACTATTGAAAGAGCCTAGTTTAAACATCAAAGAAGCAATAGACATTTGAAAACTAGCACGTCTACAAACAGTGCTTTAGCTAAAATCTAATTGTTTCAGAGCTCTAATTAATTATCGATTGGCTGATCTGGAGGTTAATTTGAATAAATTTAACAGAAATCAAAAGCCATCAGGTAATTTGTTTGTCCAGCCGCAGATCACCAGAAACAAGGATACCCACAATTTACAATCCCTGTGCTTAAATAATTATACTGAAAGTTGACTCCCAAAGTAGCTCTTCACATGTATGCTGTTGAAGTTTTGTGCCACTAGTAAGCTATCAATATTGTAGATGATGTTTTGCAAGACGGTTTGCAGTTTGTCGTAATTTTTGCGAAAGCACAACCTAATTTCGCAAATCTCAAAACCTCAACAATAGAATTAAAGTGTAAAGTGCATTACGGAGCCATAGATTCAATTAAGATAGACATTTTGCAGTTGTCTCTTTATGGTACAGACGATTAAAAGTTCAGCAGGATTGGTACAACTCATATATAAGTCCGTCCTCTCGAGACCAGACGATTTCAAGACCGTTAACTCTATTTCATCATGGAAAAATTGGTTCACTGTACTGAAATTCAACAATGCAACCTGAAACTGAAAAAGGAGAAATTGTTTAGCTCACCAAGTCATTGCAGATATGTCTACATTTTAATTATTGTACAATACAAACCGCTTTTACTGCATTAAAAGCCTCGAGAACAATGCTCTGGGGGATGCTCCACGTCGGATAATTCATTGCAGGAATTAGCGCTATTCATTAAACTAAACACTGTGCAAGCTCTAATATCATCGTTAGTCTAATTTTTCAATCTCGATTCTGAAACCTGGATGTTCCTGATGGAAATATCTCTTAAAAGTCAAAATCCAAGTAGTTTCACACATCATGTATGTAGTCAATTCTTCGATGCAGTGCTTGTTTGTGCTTCATTTTGTCGAATGTTTGAGAATCGGAATGAGACTTCGAGTTCATACTATCAAAGAAACAGGCTTCTGTAATTTCACTGATGTCAACCTCGACACCATTCAAGTTTCTTAAGGTACCAATTCACTTGAGCAATTGAAGAGTGAAAATAGCAAGAACTTGGAGTACGTTTAAAGCTAAAGGTCTGTGGTGCATTGGTAAGTTGGTAACTGATTCCTTGTCAATGCAAGAGAAGCTCTGGTATTCCGTTCTGAAATTTACACTAAGGATTGGAGGAGCTCAGCGTAAAACACAGAACGCACGGTTTCCCCAGAGATTGTTGATGTTTACTTTTCAATTCACTCTTTAAAAGGTATCAATAAATTGTAAACATTTATGAGCGTGGCACTTCTTCCAACTAAAGATCTGGGATATGAACGATGGAGAAAGGCAACAAAGACCGGCAAAAAGGTCTACACCTATTTATTAGCTCATTAGGACCAACATTAGGACCATGTTTAAGTGCATTGGTATGTATTTCTGTATACTTCTCGTATCTCAAGAACTGGACTAACTGATTATCTCTAGATTGCAGGTTATATTGTTGAAAGAGCAGATTGGAGATGGTGTTTCTATGTGCTATGTATGTTCAATTTTGCAATTGCAGTTGGTGGTAATTTATTCTTGAAAGAAACATATGCACCAACTTTATTGAGCAGAAAAGCTGCAAAACTTAGAAAGTTGACTGGTAATCAAAATTTACACTGTATTTATGAAGTTGCCACTGGTGAAACCACATTTGGTAAATTTTATGTTAATTTAAGCAGACCAGTAAGTATCATTTAACTGCTGAATAGATCATAGAATGAGAAAACATTGTCTATTTAGCATTCTTTGCACAAGAGACCAGAAAATACTAACACCCTATTAAGCTCTCCGTCCTTTTCAAAAACCCAATGGTTCTTGGTTTGGGTATCTTCATGGCTGTCGCATATGGTTGTTTATATATTTTAATTGTCACTTTCCCAGCTGTTTGGGGTGAAGTCTATGGTTTCGGCAAAGGTAGTACAGGGTTAATGTACTTGTCATTTTTAATTGGTTATATCATTGGTATTGTATTTTTCCAATACTCTGCTACTTGGGTCTTACACAGGCTAATTGCCAAAAACAATGGTGTTTCTAAACCAGAATTTAGATTGCCTATGTTGTTGGTTAGTGGTATAACTTTACCAGTTGGTTTGTTCTGGTATGGTTGGGGTGCTGAAAAGAAATTACATTTCATGTTTCCAGCTGTTGGTGCTGCAATTTTTGGATTTGGTCTTATCGCTGTGTTTTATTGTATTCAAAACTACTTGATTGATATGAATCCAAGATTCGCTGCTAGTTCAATTGCAGCTGCTTCTATCTTCCGTTCCTATCTTGGTTTTGCGTTCCCATTGTTTGCACCAATAATGTTCAAGAATGTTGGCTACGGTTGGGGTTGTTCCATTTTTGGATTTATTGCATTAGCTACTGGTATACCATTCCCGTTATTTGTGATTCTTTATGGTGAAAGATTAAGATTATGGGGTAATAGAATCATGGATAGAGCACAAGCTAAAAGAGATGCAAAGAATTTGGCCAGACTAAAAAGAATGCAAGAAAAACAATTGGTTCAATCTGAACAACATAAAGATGCCACTTCAGAATCATCATAATTGATAGGACATTTACATTTGAATATCTATCAGAATATACTTCATTTATCATGCATATTAATCATTTCATGATGCATCAAACATTAAACGTTTTTTAATAGTTAATTAATTTTATACCACAAGTTCAATAGAAAAGTTCATTAATATATTTGAAAAAATAGTGTAAGTGTTAGTGTTCAATTAGTGACTAATCAATTAGTTGTCATAAATAATACTCCATGAAAACTCCAAACCATGATCAACAACGTTTCAAGTACCTTCAACAACTTAAAAATTACACTCTCAATTAGTCTCAGCATGAACAAACTCAAAATCATTTAAAATTCAAACGGCATTGCTCTTCATAGATGGCTTAATACGATTGGGTGCTCAACAATATTGATTGTGTAATTTCTTGGTACGTGAAAGTCAAGACACAAACACAGTACATGTGAAAGGGTGAATGCCATAGTACATGGCGGACCGCTATATAGCTGATAGTCTAGGAACGAAGCATATAATTCACATCAGCTTTAACAGGTTTGACGGTTTGACGGTTTGACTTGGAATACCAGTGCTTTCAAAACCAATAAATATACCTATGTTTTTTCTTTCTTCATACAATGTACCAAGTTCTGGAGCTGGTTGTAGTCCAAAAGATTGATTGTATTCAATCATTTCCCCAATTCTGGAAACTGGCGCCCAGTCCAAGAAGGATTATTAATAGCATTACTTCCTTATCAAACCGATATATACTTACACGCCTACACGTCCCGCACACGATGATCAAATCGTAATTGGTCACAAGACGAAAGATTTATCCGTACCATCTTTAGTTTTGAACCCACGTTGACCTAGTAAAAACGTAGTGGAATCCCATGACAGTGGATACTAGCCTTATATGATATACGTCCACGAAACTGATCTATCTTTCATGATCAACCCCATCTAATTTATTGGGTACTATTGATTCTGGTTTTTAGCTTATCATCTATAGGCCGCGTACATCAACAATGCTTGTAGCCTAGTCAGTCATTCGGCCGTAATAATATTGTGTCTTCGGTAAAACAAGTTTAGGCCTAGTTTTCCCCCGGCAGATGAGCAGATGGCAGATGGCAGATGAAAAAAAAAGAGACAATTCGTGTCAGGTATTACATAACCAGAATAACCAATTATGCACAATTCATCAATACTCAACATTTCACATCAACTATAAGAAGAATCAAGAATCCACTAATTGTAACATTATATGTATATTAAGAGAACATCGGAATTACCTTATATACACACAGTAGAGGATATTCTGTCAGGTTAAAAGCCGAATAAAATAAAACAAGTGATCATTAAATCAACATCAACTAGAAACAATGGCTGTCACAAGAAACTCCAATAGAAGAAACACCTCTTCAACCTCTTCAACCTCTTCAACCTCTTCAACAACTAGAGTAACCAAAACCAGAAAACCAGCCAGAAAAACCAAGGCTAATCCTCGTGTTACAGCAATTGAAAACAATATTTCTGCATCACATGCTGCATCAACATCTGAAAACACACCAAACTCAACCACTTCAGAAGAAAATTTTTCAACAAATGGTGTTCAACAAGCTGCATTATCTGCACAAAATGAAAATTTTTCTAGTTCAACTGAAACGGACCATGAGACAAATGGGTCAAATCAAAATCGCACTTTTTTCCCACCACCTGGATTACCTCAACCAAATTCAGCACCATTGTTTCCTCCAGGTTTATCAGCACCTTCATCACTTCCACCGGGTTTATCTAATAATACACAACATGGAACCAATAGCACAACTTCAAACACTAATGCTGCTACTAATGTCCTCAAT